CGCACGCCTGTCGGGCAGTTCTTAAAAACAAAGCCGGGACACCTTTTTTGATGGAGTTTGATTGATTGATTCGTTCCGTCTCGCAACATAACGGGATCGTTTGTTAGAAGCACGAGTACAGTACGTTGTGATAGTACTAGAAGTACTGGTACGTACTCGTACTCGTAGTGCGTAATTCATTCCGGGCTGTTGGATGGCGTGTGACACGACAACTCTGTGTCTGTCTTGTACGTAAAGTACCATACTGTAATGTGTTGCGAAACGGACTACAGTACCGTAGAAAATGAGGGTTCCCAACAGAATTTCGTTCGTGCCGTAGTAAGAGTACGGTACTCGTACCGGCACGGAACGTAGTTCTCGTTGTACGTACCGTACTGTATCGTACTTTACCCTGTACAACGGGATCCTCCAGCAATCCCATCACCCCCACCCCGATGGATGGCACATTTGTGAACAGTTTCATTGATTCGATTCGCACGGCAGGACCGAACGAGCATCCTCCGTTCCTACCGTACCGTACGCACCCGCAGCACCCGACGACCCGGTCAAGGACGGAAGAAATGGGAAAACCCGGCGGCGTCGTTTTGGCCCCGCCGCCCTTTGTGTCGACCGGGCAGCGGCCGGGCGCAGCCTTGGTCCGCAGCGCGGGGGTCACGGACCGGGGATTGCTTGCGCAGCCACCGCGACGGCCACCGCGGCAGCCGCTCGTGCCGTTCATGCTGTCCGAGCTCGCCTTTGACCGCGAGGCCACGGCGGAAAGGGCTYCCCGCGGCCGCCCTTCGGACCCGGGCAGCGGCGGGAGGGGGCCTTCGAACCCGAACCGAGGCGRGGGCAGCGATGCCCATGGGTTCGGGCTCCGCTACTATTCGTCGGCCATCTGGAACGGCCTCCTCTGCTTGTCCTCGGGAGACGACCCCGACCTGTTTTTCGATGCCCAGGAAAAGCCCATGCCCAGAGACCGAAGGAGGATGGATTCCAAYGGCAGGCTGCTCACACTCACACTCCCCCGTGCACCCGAGAAAGGCGAGGCGGCGAACGACGAACRGGAGCTCCGGAAGACCAACACCTGCGCCACGGCCGCGAGCACCAGGGCCAGCGATTCGGGGCTTTGCTCGGTGGTTTCCTTTGCGTCGAACGACAGCGTCTCGGTGGAATCGGTCGAGGTCGAGGTGGTCCGGCTGGAGAAAGCCGGGAGCGGCTCTTCGATCGCCACCRGGACCATCTGTGGGGTCCGCGGGGGAGCCTTTGATCCACGGGGCAACCCCCACCACCACAACCCGCAATGCGAACGAAGCGACCAGTCGCTCCGGGCGCATTCGGACCCGAATCCGAGCGATGCGGGTTGCCGGCAGCAGCAGCAGCAGCAGGATCCTCCTCCTCCTCCTCCCGCACACCCAGGCACGCAGGGGCACAACCCCTTTGCTCGCGTCCTGCCCCCACCTCCTCCCAAAGAATTGCCCCTCCGCTTCCTCCGAGCGGGCAAGGGAGACCCGGTGGAGGGTCAGCGCCGATACGAAGCCACATTGCAGTGGAGAAAGGAACACTCCATCGATACGATCCTCCTCGAGGCCCATCCCAAATTCGAAATGATCAAGGAGAATTACCCGCACTACTTCCACCTCCGCGGCCGCCAGAACGAGCCCGTCTTTTTCGAACAGCCACCGAAAACCGACCTCGCGGCGCTCCGCCGGGGCGGCATGGACCTCCACGGTCTGGTCCGCCACTACGTTATGGTCACCGAGTTCCAGTGGCAGTTTCTCGAGCCGAACGACCTGGCCAGGTCGATCACCGTTTTGGACCTCGAGGGGATGCGCATGGTGGACTTYGTCGGGGAATGCGTCGAGTACGTCAAGATGTGCAGCCAGTTTACGGGGCAGCACTATCCGGAGCGGGCCGGACACGTCATTGTGGTCAACGTTCCGCGGTGGTAAGTTTCGCTGGGTTGTGTTCTTGCTTTGCCTTGTCGTGTCGTGTCATTTCGATGGTCGCTGGAGCGGTTCATTCCCTCGTGTGTTGCGTGCCAAGCGGTACAACCATCCGGTTGTGCGATTCGTTGTCTCGTTTTGGCGACTCACCCACCCACCCACCAACGYTGCGATCCACGAATCGAATCAAACACACAGGTTTGCCATGATATGGAAGGTGGTCAAACCCATGGTGGACGAGGTCACCCTGAAAAAAATATCCATCGTTCGGGGAAAAGACGCCGTCCTTGCTGCCCTCTCCGAAAAGATCCCCATCGAAAACATCCCGCCCGAATACGGTGGGTCCAGCATGCCGCTGGGGGAATCGCCGGAGGAACGAGCTCTCCGGGATCTCATGAGACACAACAATGCGCTGGCACGGGGGGATTGTTCGTGCGGTGGCAGGACCGCAACGCCGCCCTGCAGGTTTTGTGTGTGGGGCCCTCCGAGGAGTTATTGATCCGATCCAATCCGATCCGATCTGCCGCAGACGAGACCGAAACGAAAGGAAACCGAAACCACCGTTCGGGGAAACGGACGGATGCCTTGCTCGTGGTGGGCGATTCTGGGCGGGGAAGGGGTGGATGGAATGGAATGGATCGAACCAAGACGCGGAAAAGCGCAAACACAAGCCACGCATGCCGTGCTGTGGTTTCCTTCCTCCTTCCAACCCTGCRGAAACAACACGTTATCGAATACAATATCTGTACGTACTGCTGTAATCCTAATGTAGTAAACATACTATTTTGTACAAGGTGTSCTACGCTACGCTACGCAGCTTGGTGCTGGTTGTTTGTTCCGAGAAACGAAAACACGGCAGGCCGAAAGCAGGTCCATGGGTGCCGCGGCCGAAGAACCGCCACCGTGTCGTTCCTCGTGCGAAGCCAATCGCAAAGCAAAGCACGGCACGGGCGTGCGTTCCGGGATTCGCAACACCAACGAAACGGAACGACCCGCGGGGGGTTCCTCCGGCATGCCGATGCCTTGCTTTGGCGGTTCCAAAACCAACCACGGACGGTGTGCCGTGCTAGCTAGTGTAGTGTATTGTAGTGTAGTGCTGCGTTGTACGGATACCAGCCTGCAGTGCTCCGTACCAATCGACGCCCGCCAGATCGGCGGATCTCAAAAGGCGCAGAGCACATCTTACTGTCGGAATGGCACAAGGAACTTACATGATGAACGCGAAACGAACCARACGTTTCGAGAAGTACCTTCGGGCACAAGCATCTCGTCTATAAACCCATGACGACTTGGATTTTCTCTCGGTCRTTCGTGTCCGCTCGTGCGTGTCGAAGAACACACGATGCAAAACAACAAGTGCGTGTGCCACAACCATGGCTATCTTCAAAACCTCGTAGGAACTTCCTCGGATCCATCGTCGAGAGTCTTCAAATAGTCCCGGCAGCTCACTTTTGCTCCTTTGTGTTCTGACGATAATTTTCCCCAAACTACCCGCCAATGTTCTACTCCACTCTCATGGGAGATTCGCTCTTCCCGAGTTACATTTTCGGTGGAATTGTACAGTGTTACGATATCCTTGTATCCTCTCTTGACCTCGACCACTCTGGAAGGATGGGTTTTTAGCACTTTCTTGCCGTCCGCCCCCTCGTATTCATAATYGTTTTCGTATCTGGAAAAGTTGCCTTCCAACGGTCCCGAGGTTACAAATTGGTCCCAACCCGCTTTCATTGCATGCGGTCCGGTTACAAAGACCACCTTTGGCCTGAACACGTGGTCCAAATCCAAMAGATTCTTCACTATGGCAAACATTGTGMGGTACATTATCGGATGCCCCTGTTCTGCCGCGATGAACCATTGGGAAGGGCGACTGTATGGATCAGTAAAGAAAAAGGCCGACAGATCCCTTCGGATTGTTTTGGAAGTAAATTTTCGAAGCGGGGAAACGTCCATATCGCTGTAGATCCCACCGTACTTGTAGATAAGCAAAATTCTCCACACATCGACCGTCATAGCTCCATTGACGTGAACACACTTCATAGCGCGATGTAATTCTGGAAACTCGGGCCAATCCTCCTCCAGAAGCTTATTCACCGCATTGTCGTCGTGAAAGAAAATGGAGTAGTCGGGGAGGGTCCTCTTCCACTCCCCGATAATCGCTGCAAGATCCTGGGGCAGGCACCGGCTTTTGTGAGAGAAATGCATAATCTTGGGAATGGTTTTGTTGATGTCGTTTTTCGACTTAGGGTTGTCATCATCCGACCTGACGATCACGTTTTGGAACGCTACGAGGGGAGGAGTGCATTCCAAATTCTTCGCTTGGGGTCCACCCGACAAATKATCCAGTTCGTCTAGCAATGCATTTAGTGACATTCTACTTGTGTTCGAAGAAACCAAGTTGGAGCCGGTACCTGAAACAGTCAAATTTTTAGTCACATCGGAGCTGGCACTTGTGGSTGTTGCATTGCTGTGCCCAATCGCAGCCACATCAAATGCTCTCAGTGGACTGGAAGCACGCATGGTAGCGGTGCCATTTATAGTGGGGGAGTCAAAAGACTTCTGTTCGGTATCAGTCAAATTTTTAGTCACATCGGAGCTGGCACTTGTGGCTGTTGCATTGCTGTGCCCAATCGCAGCCACATCGAATGCTCTCAGTGGACTGGAAGCACGCATGGTAGCGGTGCCATTTATAGTGGGGGAGTCAAAAGACTTCTGTTCGGTGTATTCAATGTTGACGATCGCTGAGTAAGGTTTTCCGAGTTTTGCAATGAACACCACACAATTAATCGCCAGCAGAACAAGGAATGATCGTATTCCGATCTTTCCCACGCCGGGGTTGGGTTTTCCTTGCCGCAGTCTCATGTTTTCTCTTCCGTGGTGTCAAGTGCTTGCATCGTGATGAAATGGATATTATTGTGCCTGCGGAGCTTGGTCTATCTATCGTTCCATTACTTCTATTTTGATTTCGGCATTAGTGTTTTCCGCTATGAGCAACATCGGTTCATTCCCGCATACATGAATCCATATATGTTAGCAGGAATGGGTCATTCCCGATAACGTGAATCGATATATGTTATCAGGGATGGTTTTTAGTGGTCCTAAACGACTTGAATAGGCTTGCTGGGCCCTCCGGAACCAACGCGCGCGAGTCCCCCCTTTGAAATCTAATATCGGGGGTATGATTTCGTTTTTTTTTTTTTCAAATAAAATAACCCATGTTTCATGGGTTCCTGGGTTCCTGGGTTAACCCATGAATAACCCACGAAATAACCCATGAATAACCCACGAAAAACCCTGCAAACCAACAAACCTGCTGGGCCTTTTTCCAAAAATTAAAAACAGTGATTAAATAATGTTAATAACTAAAATACTTAACATCATTGGTTCTCCATCAACCCAGATGGTGACTGTAAATTCATGGGTTATTCTTGGGTTCTTTCGTGGGTTGTTATTTGTGGGTTCCTGGGTTCTTTTGTGGGTTATTTTTCAAATTAAAAAACCCACGTTTTACAAATTTGGGTTATTTTTCACCAAAAATAACCCAAGTTTTTCTAGGGGAGGAATTCGAAAAGGGGGATGTGCACGTGGGTACCAGAGGGCCCTGAAAGAAAACTGAAAGTAAACATTTCAACTCATTTTTGGAATTTGGAATCTTGTTTTTAAAAGTAAGAATATCAACATTTCAGCTTGGTGCCCAGTGACTCCTCTCTTACTAGTAAGGTGTTGTGCAAGATCTAAATACATAAATCCTGGTTGTCCTCCTAGGCTCACTAGCTACAACAACCAGAATTTATGTATTTGAGATACTTCCTCCAGTCCACAAGATGTGTACAGTTTGCACATTTACTACTGAAATAAGCTAAATAATAGGGTGATTTGGATTGTTCTTTTTGTCATACTGATCTAATCCCATTGTAGTATTTCAATGTGTTATGCCCCCAAAGAATGAGCCCCCTTCAAACAGAGCATTTAACACTATGTATTTCATTTTACCAGCAGTTGAAAGTGTTCTAATGGTCATTTTGACATAAAGCCAACACAACCAGTCAAAGAAAAGAGCAACAAATGATTCAAGTGAACACAGGAGGAACGGAAAGAAGCAAACAACAAGAGGCAATGGCAACGGCAACGGAAACAATGTCAAGAATGAAGATCAAAAGGAAAGACAGAAGAAAATCAATGCAAAGCCCTGCAGGAAGCACAATGGTGAACACACCTGGGGAGAATTCCCATTCCATAGGAGAGGAAACAATTACCCTGGAAAGAACCAGGGAGACTCTAGCTCCAATTCAACCAATAACAACAATAAGACATACCCACCAGGCAACTACTACTACCACCTCCTCAATGCAAAAGGAGAGTTGATTCCACTGCAACAGCAGCCTCCACTTCAAACTTATCAACTTGCTCAAGCACAGAATAATGGTTCTAATTCAAGTGGTGGTCCTCTGAGCCATGTCTCTGTACAATCCAGCAATGCAGCCTCCTCAGTTAGATTCTGCGGGCCCAATCAGCAATGGTGACAGTCACAGGAGCCAGTGCAGAAACAGAAGCCAGAGCGGAAAGAGGCCTTCCTTGCACTACCTCTAGCACCAAGAACTACTCATTCACCAGAAGCAAGTTTAGAATAGTATCTAGATGAGAAAGCCCTTACTAAGAACCAAACGTCAACAACCTGAAGAGCACTCAATCCAGATTTACTCCCAGTCATGATACTGGTATCCAAGGTCATTCAAGGAATTCCTGTGATGAACACYTTCAAAGTCCTTTTAGACAGTGACAATACAATGTGTCTGATTCACAAGTCATGCCTTCCACCAGGGGCTAGGCCTTCTTTAGACACTAATTGCCCTGTTACAACAACAGCTCAAGGAAGCTACAATACTTCCAGATATGTGTTCATATCTCAAATACAATTGCCAGAGTTTGGCAATGGCAAATAYATAAAAGGCATCAATGCAAGGCTCTTTTTAGCCCCATGTAACTCCGATATGATCCTTGGAAGAGATTTCCTGCTTATGGCTAGGATTGATCTTTTCTTCTCGAAGCACACCATTAAATGGTTGGATTCATCTATAGATGAAACCATTAGGTCATTTCAACAACCCCTGGCAAGTCATGGCAGAAGACATTACTCAATTGAGGTTTCCTAGAGCTTCATCTACTCCCCCCAAGCTGCAGCCGTGCAGATAGTTATTTAGCAGGCCTGATGGGCACTGCCAGCAGAGCAAATGGAACAGAGCTCAATAAAATTCTGGATGCAAAATACTAGGGAGTCACTCCAAAAGAGGTTGCCAACCATCAGGAGCAKATGACCAAACCAGAAAGACTAGCATTCAAGGAGATGGTAGCCAAACATGAGGAATTGTTTGATGGCAAGCTTGGCAGATATCCAAATGAAAAGACCC